AACGGTAACCGCTCACCTTCCTCTACTTCCATTGTGAATTGAATTTTTTCATCAATCTGGTTTACAAATTTTAGAAACTCTTGTAGTTTTTCTTTTAGATATGACTAAAGTGCGAAGTAATCATCCAAGTAGCGCATGAGCACTTTCGGTCGTAACGGTGCTGTCTTGAAGCTCTCCTATTTTGTTAATGTATACGTTGATGAGAGCAGTGATCCCATGGGAAGTCCAAATATTTGTTCATAGATGTTCCCGTTGAATGTAAAATAGATGGTCCTTATTGTCAAGCTGATTAGTCTTGTTAAGGACTCCTTCATGCTCCGCTGTGATTCCAGGATATCCTCCTCTCGGTCCAGGATTTCCAGCAGGGCCGTTAGTGAATTCTCTCGAGAGATATTTGTATACATAGATTCCACATCAAAACTTACAAATAAGTCCGTTTCTTCTAGTGCCATGTTTTTGATTTTTTGAGAAAACTCATATGAATGTTTCACCGTGGAATATAAACAAATGAGAAGTTATGACAGGGCGGCAGTGGGATAAGAGTGTAAAGAATAGATAGATAGGCAATGACAGAAAAAGGAGTAACAGTGTCGAGGGACTGATTTCACTTGCCTCTTTGACGAGTTCGTAGCCTGATGCGGAGAATGGCAAAGCTTACTGATGATGCCGACTACGATACCAGCGAAACGTTTGAGAATGTATCAAGTCCACTGTCAAGATGCTGTAAATCATGACAACTACTATGGCAGATGACTTCGGACTAGGTGTGTTCTACATAGTCTCTCTGACAACAAGACCAAGTTGCGACGACGAGGTCAACTCACTTCTATAAGATTTATAGACTACGAATAGCTAAAAGCCAAATTATAGATAAATATTTATAAAAAATTTCACTAACCCTCGGACATAGTGGCCATCTCAACGAGGATCCGGCCAAGCGAGGTGATGCCCATGGCAGAGCGGATCACATCCAACGGATTATGTGGTCGAAATATGTCGACTGTGTGCACTTGGGTAATGGGAATGCGTCCAGTTCCCATTGAGACAACTAGTGATACTGGAGTTACTGACTCGTTCTTTAGTAGGTAAGGAGGAAATGAAATAGAAATATTGAAGATATCAAACAACTCTAAGTGTGAGGCGCAGTCAAATTTTTATTTGAATAAGCAAATGGGTAAAAAGTGTTGGAGTAAGGTAGTTTAAATATAAATAAGCAGCAAACAGTCAATGAGAAAGAAGTGAAGGTTTGAATCGAGTATGAACTCGAACGACCGAGTAAAAATGATTATTTTTGCGGATGTAATTGTTGGAATATATTACGTTTCAGAAATAATATAAAACATTCGAGACAAGCATAAAGCAGGAACTATTTTATTATTTTAAAATTGCTGGTGATCTAATATTAGCGTTAAATCTTTATACTTACTCATAGAGTAGAGAAAATAGAAATATGAGAAATTTTATGGATCTTTATTAGTTGTGGAGAACATTGAATAGACAAGGCAAAAGTGTAAATAAAGGCGTAAATGTTGAAAAAAATAGTATGGAAGGCCTACTCCACAATGGCGACCATTCAATTCTAAAAAAGGATTGCAATTAAGGTGTAATTTTGAGTTGGCCAGGTACGTATCGGTGCATGTGGTTATGCATATGCTGAATAAGGTTGAAATTCCAATAGTGAAAATATAAAAACCTATATTTATGGATTTAAACATAAAGGACTCCAGAGAACCGCTATTGAATTTAGAAATAAATGTCGGTGTCGGTTGTGGATGAATGGACTCACGCGTCTTATGAGGATTAACCCAAGGAGAATGTAAGGTCTTAGTTATGCACAAAAGGTTAGGAATAACGATGAATGAGCTAAATGATTTTTCTTTTTTAAACCAATGGTTTGTCTCAGCCGATTCTTAGAGCTGTGTGTCATAGGGTATTTTTCCACAAATTCATACCTTAATGTTCCTTGTATCAACAATTCTAGCAGTGTGGGGATATGGGAAACAGTGGGGAGTGTGAATAGGTCTCACTAAAGCCGCTAAGAAGGGCACACATCAACTAGGTTTAGATAACCAAGTAAGAATTTGTGATGGTGAAGAGTATATAGGAAAGATGAATAGCCCAAGACAGGAGAGATTCCAAAACTGTTCAGCACACATTTAGTCAAAGGATCGGCTTCACTTGTCTCTGACGAGTTGTGGAGTGGTGCTAAGAATAGCAGGGCTCAATGACGATTCGGGCAAAACGTCTGGGTATATACCAAGTCGATCGTCCGACTCCATGCATACTATGGACTCCTTTAGGCATTCTTGGCAATATGGCCAAGTTGCGAATACAAAGTCAAACAACCTCTATGTAACAAAAGGAGAATGCGACCATACTAAAGGCCACATCAGCTAGGTCCTCATACCTTCGCTTAACGTTTTTTTATTCCTTCGATATTTATATAAATCGTTGTCAACATAAGGAAGTTTCATATGTAATTTATTTTAACTACGCCGGGCATCACAATAGGCGATGCTTATCCAGGCTTAATTATATAATAGGCCTCGCCTAAGTCTCATCCTCATTCCTAACGGAACTAAGAACAAGATCATGCTCATCAAGACAGCATGTTAACAGTAGAAGGCACAGCCAAAATGCCAACTTATAATAGAAATTATGCGATTCTCAAGACAATATACCATTTCATATCTTGTATAAAAACAAGTCTCGATAAGGCAAACATATTTGCCATTATAATCGAGTTTTACTAGATGAAATAGCGAGTATACTAACATATTGGTGTATATGGACAAATAGACTCACCTTATGGGTAAAGTACACTCCAGGTAAGGTTCCCATTGAAGTTTATAAGCAATATTTTGACACAGAAATACAAAAAATTAGATGGTGATTTATCCAACATAAAGATGAAAGGTAAAGTTCCATTCTGCACTAATTTTAGAATCTTAAGCCAATATTGATTCTAGATTCAATGCCATACTAGTTCAAAGGTAAATCCGTACACAAGTTCTATTATGCCTTTTTACTATACTGAGGATAGGATGCAGAAGTATTTATAAATTCTCATATAAGAGGATATTCACCATCAGGATACACTATCACTAATATGGCCACACAGTGATGAAAGGCCGAAATAAAAACGACTGATGTGAGAAAAGGCCAGACCTAGATAATGAAAATATTCGTTAGTATCAAGAGTCATTTAACTTAGCATAGGTCTCTTTAGCACTCTTTGTGAGAATGAAATAGTACAAACAAAAAGAGAGTATTTTGTCGATAAGGCACAAGAAGTAATAAAGACTAGGCGTAGAGTTAGGATTTACTTTTTGGAAGAAGGAATTCTTAACAAGAATAAATATGGGATCGACTGAGTCCATAGTATTCAAAAAAGCACTAGCGTGATAGACCTACAATATCGTCGTTGTCCTCAAAAAAAGATTAGGGAGGATCCCAATCAACAGATTCTAACAAGGAAGCGGAGGAATCGCATGCGTATGTGTACATACATTTAGA